CTATAGTCTGAGCTTTACTCTTGTAACAAATTTGTAATTGGAATAAATTTTGTAATTTATATCCAGAGAAGCCTCTGAAGGCATCTTTAACAAATTAATAAAGATATGAGCAAAACCTTACCTTAACTTCAAAAAAAAAAAAAAATACAATTTCTTAAATTTTGTAAAAAGTAAGAATTTTAATAATATAGATTTTTTATTTTATATTAGAAAATTTAACAATTGGCATTTCATAATATATAAATTTACGGAGGTAATTAGATTTTTTTTTCTAAACCATAAAGTTTACAATAATAATATAATTACAGGGCAGTAGTTTTGGAGGCAAGTGTACAGATAAAAAAACATATAATAGGAAGCAGAAGTAAAGGGAAACAAATGAGATAATAAATATGTTATAATATAATAATAGCTAATACATAGTATAAGTTGTAAATTAGGAAATTGAAGGAAATAAATTAAATATTTATAAAATCAATAAAAGAAAATATAAATAGTAATTATAATTAAAAGTAAGATACAAAAAAGAATGAAAGAAAGTAAAATAAGTAAAATACAGAAAAAAAAATAAAATTAAAATAGAAGTAAAATAAAAATATGCAATTAATAAAAACCAAGAAAAAAAAAAATACATACAATAAAAAATAGAAAAAAATAAAATGAGCATGAATGAAAAAGTAAATGCCTATTAAAAAACTTTGGAATAGACAATGTTAGAAGTCAAGGTAGTGTAAACAATAGTGTTAGTATTAGTGTTAGGTATAAGAATTTTTTAGATTTTGTAGTATAGTAACTCTGAAGCAAGCTATGTAAAGTTGTCCATGAGAAAAGACAGGAGTTGGTAGATATAAGCCAACTGAATTCAAAGTTTGATCTTGGAATTTATTGATTATTAATGCAAAAGCGAGTTGGACAGGAAATTGTCAACGTATAAAAGTAAAAAGAAGGTTGGCATTGAAAGGAGACATTGTAATTCTAGAAAGGAACATGTGATTTTCAGAATATTTTCTAGTAATAATCTCTGCTTCAATAACGTGCCTATGAAGAGAATGGCATATTAGTTTAGTTCCATTACAAAGACCATCTGATGAACATATGTTATATAATAATATAATGGGTGTTCCAGTCTTCAGTAATAGCTTATGGGGTGGAAGACCTCCAATTGATAAAGAATTAAGAAATTCAACAGGGTATAAGTACTAAGCTTCAGGTTGGTTTTCAATTGTATCTGCACTATGATATTCAGATACAACTTCAGGAAATTGAGATAAAATATTAGCATTAATAGCATGAACATCATCATTTCTAAGAGTAAGTATTACATGTTCAGCTAAAAAATGTGAGTCATAATGAAAAGAAAAATTAGAATAAACAGAAGTTATAAGATCATTTAAAGTATGAGATTTGAGAACAATTTGTTCAGGAAGTGAAATAGTATTGCTCTCAGGTTCAATAGTAGGAAAAGACCTTTGCCAAGTTTAATAAGCTATCTAGAGAATTCTTCTTGAGCAGTAGCATTAGTATAATTAGTAGTGTAATGAAGATGCATATTAATTGTTAGTGTCATAACAATAAATGTGTTTAGAGAGGTGAATGTCTTAAATATAATCCTACTGTATCTTCTCACCCACCTTTTACAACTACAGAAAGAATTTGATGAAAAGCTTCTCCAAATACAATGACCTTACCTCCAAAAGGTTGATGCTCTAAAGCAGGATTTTTAGCTTTTATTAGGTCTCTTAAAGTGCGATTAAGAGCTTCAAATGCATATCTATATGCCATAGGTGCTTCATCCTATACAATGATAATTGCTCTTTATAAAAGTACTGCAGTATCAGAGCCATGAGAGAATGAACAGGTGGAATCTTTATGTAAATTAATAGATAATTTGAACCAAGAATGAGCAGTTTGACCACCTAGTAATAAAAGAGAAGCAATCTCAGATGAAGCAATAGCAAGAGCAATGTGGCTGCTTAGTCAAATCTTAGCAAGTAAAACACTATATGTATAGAAAAATAAATAAATAATATTAGTAAATTATAGTAAAAAATAGGTTAAAAGAAAAGAAGAAAAAAAAGTAAATTTATATCTATACAAAAAAGTTTTTCCTGTTCCTTCAGAACTATTCATAAAAAACACAGTAGGAATGTTATTTTCAACAGCAGTCATAACTCTATTGAAAATAGCATGCTAATCTTGATTCAATCAGGAATACCATTTTTAATTATATAAGAAAGCTCATTAGGATTATAATTCAATTCTTTAGCAATCAGAGTATTAGTGCGTTCAACTGTAGGTAGAATAAACATATTAGGAAAATTGGCAAAAAATTTGCTATACTTTTGTAAGATAGACTGTAAATGAGATAAAGCATGATTTTTTATATTAGTATCTGTAAACATAGTAATATTATTATAAAATTGGATATCTTCAGTAAGAAAATTGAAATACTTAGTCCAAAGTTGTTCAGGATGGAAAAGAGTACAGAATAGGAGAATAGTAGTGAATAAGTAGCATAATTGTGAACCAGTGCGAATTTGAGCAGCTTCAGATAAACAAAGATCCCATTCATCATTATTATGTAGTAACCCTAATGCATCGCAAGCATTTTGGAAAGTTGGAAATACAACTCCATTTATAGAACATAGATGTTGAAAAGAAGTAGTGCCGCAAATAACAATAAGAAGAAGTCGTAAGTAATAGCATTTACTGATAAAGGATGAATAAAATACATGTACCTAATGGTATTTCCACATTGTCTTGGTTTCCATTCTCGAGATTGTTTTTGATAAACCCATTGTGTTAGGAAGTCTCTATATGTAAGCTATCTTGCTTTAGAATATTTCAAATTAGTATTAAACCAGGCAGTAGGGTTCTGCAATTTGATTTGATTTGATTTGATTTAATTAAATATTTGAATTCAAATCAAATTCAAATCTGAAATTTTCAAATCAAATCGAATTCAAATATAGTCAAATTTGATTTGATTTGACAAATATTTGATTTGATTTGAAAATTTATAATTGAACGTTCAAAATTATAAGCTATTTACTCAAATTTTATTAAGATAATCAACTTTCTTGTTTTATGAAACTAGGGGTATTTTGTTTAGACGAAGACATTTACTTAAGAGGTCAAGATAGATTAACATAGTATAATCTTTCGTAAATTAAGTTTTTTCTTTATCAATCAAAAATTTTAAATTTTTTTGAAAATCAAATATTTAAATCAAATATTTGAATTTGATTTGATCAAATCAAATCAAACCAAGGAAATATTTGATTTGATCAAATTCAAATCAAGGAAATATTTGATTTGATTTGGTTTTGAGGAATCCTACTAGGCAGTAAGTATAGATTTTTCGTTTGTAGCATATTCATTTACTTCTTCTATAGTGTTATTATCAGTAAATATAATTCTATGTTGTCCTGGAAAGTGAACCTGAAGTGGTGTAACACTCAGATTTCTACCATGTAAATGGTAGTGAAATATTCTCTATGAAGCTTCAGAGACAGAGACATATCGAGCATTAAGATAAAGAGATATTTCATTATCATTTTCTTTAGAGGTATGATCTTGTAAATGTTAGATTAATTGAATAGTAATGCGATTATAACCCTTATAAATATATTTAAAAAGATACTTGACAGCACTAATTGAGGAACAGATTTCTACATTTATATATCAATGATATTTAGTAGAAAGATAAGGATTATATAGTACAACCTATCAGTTGTCCAATATGCTTCACGGACTTTAACAGTATGATTATTATTCTAACATCTATATATAGGATAACTATTATTATTCATTACAATAGTTTCTTGAAATTGTTTCAGATATTTTTTAGTACATTTTCCATCTTTATACATGAGGCATTCAGGTTAAGAGCACCACAGAGACCATGTATTATTGATTGCTTGATAGTATCAAATATATAAGGATCAATAGTTAAGTTTGGAAGTTTAGCAGATACTATCAAATCATAATCAGAGATCATTTTGGACTTATATTCAGGAGAAAGAATAATAAGAATATGGGCATGAGGTAGGCTGTGTTTCTGGAACTCTATTGTATAAAGGTGTGCTAATACTTTTCCAAAAATAAATTCTATTAAAATATCTTTAAGCAAATCTTTTAGTTTTATATTAAAAATACGAGAAATCAGATTAGGGTGATCCAAAGCAGTTTGATCTGCAAAAAGAGCATTAGTAATTTTGGGCTATTGTAAATTATACGTCATCATAATAAATAAATCAGGCTTGCCAAATACTCTCATAATAGTTATTGCATCTTGATAAAGCTGTTGCATTTGGTGAGGTTCTTCTGTATAACTTGAAGGTAAGATTATATGTGATCTATATTTGTTGCTTCTAATGATTTATCTTTTACTAAAAGTGCATCCTGTAACCTACTTTATAATTCAGAACAGATTTTTTTCTGATTCAGTTTTAGATAGTTGAGACGCATTTGTTCTACAATTGCATACATATCAACTATCCACTGTTGAAATAAGCGCCCAAATAAATATAAAACTACAGCTTCATTCAAGTGACTAAAATGAAATCAATACATGAAATAATTCATCACAGTAATATATTTTCTAGTACATTGATGTTCATTCAAATTGTAAATAAATTTATTATCAACTATAGTTTTATGAACAATCGATATAAAAGATGTAGTATGCTTAAGAAGAATATACAGATGCCAATCATCTTCATCTCTGGAAACATAAGGACATAATGTAGAGGTTCATAAGCACAATGCAATTCAGATATTTATTACAATCTTCCTTTGTGCAAATGTAAAACAATATCACATTGTACTGACTCAGTTTCTTGGCCATTTTCAATTATAATAGCAGCCACTTCAGCAGTACTTAGAGTATTATAACATCTAGAATCTTTCTTTCTATTATCTATAATTAACATTTTTAAATTTATAAACAAATTAGAAGTTATAATGTCACCATTTTGTTTAAATATTTTACTATATGGATTAAGATCATGCAACATGTGTTGAAATTCTGCAAGAATCAAAGAATCAAAACCAGGCATTACATTTTATCAATTTTGAAGCTTATGTTCTGTATCATATACATAGATCTAAGCAAACTGGGGACTAGCTATGTGAGCAAGAATTATATTATCTATATTATGATATATTTCATTATGAATACAAAAAGTATATATGCCACCAGCACCCATTATACTATGATTAATCTTTGCTCTCATTGATGTAAAAGCTAATGCAGAGTTATACATCCTAATATTTTGTCTAAATAAGCATACAAACAAATTTATTCTAGTAAAAAACTCATTTAGAGGAGGAGGCAATTCTTAAATTGGAGGTAAAATAATTTTACCATCTGCACAACATGATATAAAAACTGGAGTTCAATTAGATGAATTTGCTTTTCTTTCGTTTAGTTATAGCAAAGCTTTACAATTAGTACATCTTCGATCTATATTTTCTAGAAAGTGCTAGGTCAATTCTTGTAAGCATTATGGATATACACATGCTTTTAATAAAAAGATTGAAGTGTAAATAGTAACATTAACAGGTATTGGAGAAATATATGCAGTAAGGGTCTCAAGAGTAGAACCTTCTTCATAAATCATATTACTAACAGAAGAAAAAAAAGAAGGAGTTAGAGTATTAGTAATGCCATTGTGAAAATTTACTGTATCTACTGATTCAAGTTGATCAGTTTTAGCAGTTATCTTTATTTTCTTATTTTCTCGATAACATTGTTGATATTCATGATGAAACCTTTTCTTGTGGTCTTCAGGAGTCTCAGACATAATGTTACAATTTATAAAAATATAATCAAAAACTAAAAACTAAATTTGCAAAAGAAGCAAAAAATGCAAAAAACTATAAATCAAATATTTATATATAAAAGAAATGTGATACAATGTTATACTAACATATAATAATTAATGTGATAAGAACTAACATATATATATAAAAGAAATGCGATATGATGTTACACTAACATATAATCAACATGATAAGAAATAACACAAAAATCAAATTAGTAGATTATCAATGTGAGCAAGGGGAGAAGATCATCATACTGTATGCTACCAGCACGTCTGTAATCTGTGACAGATTAAGTCACTAATTTCATCCCCATCTGATTATATTCCCAGAGTAAGACTTGACTGTCATTAACTATTAAAAAAAATGAAATATAAATTCAAAAGTTGCTTTGGATATTAACAAACATTATATTTACTTTTTAAGTAAAAAAAACAAAATTTCATTTCTTTAATTGTGCTATTGTTTAACACATTCTTACTTAAGAGATACTTTTTTTACTCTACCTCTTTCAAATGAAGGTAACTCAAAGAGCTGAATTCATATCATTTATTCGTGAACTCATATTTTCATAGCATTTTTGATTGAACAGTCACAACTAAAAAAATCATAAGAAAAATATTCGGATGGTTTTATTTTATTTCATTACATTGATCTTTGAATTTATCTAATACGGTTCATAATGTTGGCCTAATATTTTGACAATTTGAACTAAAAATAATGTGATTCCAGAAATATCATTCTCACCCATTTTCTTAATTACATTTTATAAGTTTTTTTTAAAAAAAATATATCCAAATTTGTATAACCTGCGAGGCATTTGAAGGATCTTTCATACTAAATTTTATTTTATTTTTTTTATAAACTTTATTAAAAAAAAATTTAATTTATAAAATCGCAAACAAATTAAATAATAATCAAATACGATCAAATCATTTTTTATATATTCAACTTTAGTAATTAAATAGCTTTTTCATCATGATTTAAGACATAGTTGAACAGTGATTGAAATCAGTAGCTTAATCTGTCACAGATTACAGACGTGCATGTTACCAATACATAATTATTAAAAAATTATTTATACGAAGTAATCTAAGCATCACCATCACGTGAATCAAAAATTTTAGCAAATGTATAAATAAAGTAATAGCATTGTAGATTACATGCTAATAGCCAATTTTATTAGTTAGTGCCCAGCATTTAGAGCATGCATAATTATATAATTAATTTTTTTTTTTTTACATATATAAAGCAATACAAATCCTCTAATCAAAAGCTAGGCTGTTTGTTTAAATTACTAATTCTAGAGTAGGGTGTGGAGTGGTGGGAATTTGTGATCTACAATGCTATTACTTTATTCATACATTTCCAAATGTATTTTGCTAACGCTTATATATTTGCTAAAATGTATTTTATGTAATAATAGCAATGTAGATCATGTGCTATTGTGGAGTAGACAGTGCTTCCTCTATTATTTTCTGTGCTATATTGTTTCTTTGAAGTAATAGGGAAATTCTCCATTGATAGAATTTTTGATATACTGTATTACTTGACCAATTTCCTAAAGCCATAATCATCATTAAGTCAGCTCCACTATTTTGTCCTAAGAAGGCTGATATTACCCTTGTATCCTTTGCTGTTAGGCTTTCTGATGACACTGTAAGACATGTTTTAATCCATCATGTGATGGAATCTATGGAAGCAGGCTTGTGTAGTGTGGTCATCATAAGAAATAAAGATTTCTAAGTTTCGGGTAAATTGCCCACTGTGCTGTTTGAGTCATATAAGTGTTGAAGGCTGATAGTGCACAAAAATTTATATCATCCAGATAAGATCCAATAAATATTTTTTTATATTGTTCCTTTCTGCCCTCATGAAATCTTGAAATATTTGATTCTTTGGGGTTCCTAATATAGACAACAACACCATTCGGTGTTCGTAGGATAGTTGAAAGATCAATTCAATGTAAATCTGATGGGCAGCTTCCTGAAGTTAAGGCTAATAGTAATGCTGTTTTTTGTGTTAAATTTAGTATAGGCATTTCTGTGTTAGAGCCCAATGATTGAATATAATCTATTGTGAGCAATACATCAACTACTTCTGCAGAGTTTTGCTTGGGTGGATTTAGGTTAAATAATCCTTTCATTACTTTAATAATAATTGGATGTAAACCAATTGATTTTCCATCTACATGTACATGGATCTCACTAATAACTGATCTATAACTCATGATAGTATTAAATTGCATTTTTTGACTATAAAGGTGATCTAGAAATTCTACAATTGTCTGAAGAGGGCACCTAATAGGATCGTGATTCCCTGCTGCCATCAATTAAACAATTTTCACATACATGCTGACACTGTTCTTGAAGCTTTTGGATCATATGATGCGATGTAAAGCTCTGCAGCTCTGTCTGAAAAGCCCTTGTCTTTGAGCTGTTCCTGAATACAAGAGCTGCGCAGATCTTCCATCTGTAATTCCTGGTGGTGTAATTGTATTGTAAATTATTGCTTTGTGGAATAAGACAATTGGTATGTCTATTAGCTGATTCATTAACATTGGGAACCATGAGGCTGATTGCCATAATGGAAAAATTATTATTATTGTAACCTTCTCTTGGATGATCTTTGCTAAAACTTTGGATAATAGGATTTATAAAAGATTCGCATATGGTTTCCATTTCTTCCAAGTTTGGGTAAATGTGTCAATTGCAAGAGCCTTGGGATCATACCTCCAACTGAAAAAGTTCATTGTTTGGGCATTTTGACTAGTTGCAAATAGGTCGAGATTCCTGTGCCCCCAAATACATTGTATTAAATTGAATATTGGCCTTGACAAGGTCTATTCTGACTGTAGATTCACTATTCATGATGCCGCATCTGCTAACTCGTTCATTTTCTCTGGCAGATGTGAGCCTGAATTACAATGTTCCTGGACAGACATAATGTTTATATTTGTTCTGCTATGTGACTCGGAGAAGGTGAGGTCATGCCTCCCTGATGGTTTATATATGCTACTGTAGTCATCAAGTCTCTCTTTATGATTACTGTTTGATTGCATAAGTCATCCTAATGTCCTAAGATAATCTGGTTGTTCATGACTGCCCTTCAACCCCAGGGTGATGCATCAGTTTGTATGGTTGAATGTGGAATGTTTAGCCAAATTTTCTTTCCTTTGTGATGGGATAACTGCTTCACCTATTGTAGGAGCTGTTGTTTGCTTTCGGATGAAAGATGTACGAATGAATTTCAATTTTGGAGTTTTAATTGCTTGTTTTTGTTGTACAATAATGACCAAGATAGTAGTCTTATGGGAAGAAATGCATTGGTAAAAGCTATGAGTTTTCCTATTAGAGAGGCAAACTTTCTTATATGAATTTTTTCTTGTTTGTATGTTGTTGAACATTCACATATCAAATCCTTTAGCTTATAATTGGAAATTTGTAGCATCATGTCGATTGAGTCTATGTTAAAGCCTAAAAATTCTATCAATTGAGCTGGTTCCAGTTGTGACTTCTCTATGTTGATCATGAAGCCTATTTTGTAAAGAAGATGTAGTAATTGTTCTTTGTCTCTTATGATTGATTGTATGATCTTGCTAGGACCAGTATGTCGTCTAGGTAAGTGATCAGTCTGATGTTCATTTGTCTTGCCAATTTTATTACTGATTGAAGGACCTTTGTAAATATTCATGGACTGGTTGAAAGCCCAAAGGGAAGATATGTATAGCAGTAAAACTTTCGGTTGCATTCGAACATGAAATATTTTTGGGCCTCCTGATGCAATGGTACATGGTGAAAAGCCTCTTTGACTATAGATATAATAAAGTCTTTGGGTTGTATTAACAATTTTACAAGGTCCAAACCTTTCATTTTGAAATGCAGATAGTAAATATAGTTGTTTAGTTTTCATAAATCTATTACTAATCTGTGAGCACCAGTTTTTTTCAGAACTAAAAAAATATTTGACATGAAACATGGTTTGTCAGTAGGGAATTTGCGTATCACTTTCTGGTCTAACAACCTTGTGACTTCTTGTTGTATATCGGGACTTCATTGGTTATAAGATGGAATGTAAGTTTTTAGAGGGAGTACATGTTCCCATATAGGATAATAACCATCTCTGATAATTGTTGTAGCCCAGTGTTGTGGGAAAAATTTTTGCCATATGGGATAGACATTTTCCAAACCTTTTCCAGATGTCTTTGTGTTTATTGTTGGTTTGGGTGATTTTTCTAAAGACTACTCTTGTAAACGTTTCTCTGCCTGGATCCCGAAAAATTTCTGCCATATTATGGTGGTTGATATCTACCAAATCTTGTATCATGGTTGTTCTGAAAGATGGGCATAGTCTTACATTCCAATTTTTCTTTTCGCTTTCATTGATACAATGCATCGTTAAAAAACTTCGCTTCTCTATTCTCTTTTTTTATAATGTTTTGCAATTCTGTTCTAAAAACTGTTTCATTTTCAGAGGTAGGTTGGTGTTAGGAATAAATGACTTAAGTGCTTCATCTTTTTGTATTTCATTAAGTGAAGACAAGGCATCCAGTGTAAGTAGTCTTGTAGAAAGTAACGTCTCTTCTAAATACTTCTATACTGATAAATCGGATTGATCATCATTTTGAGGTTTAGTCTCATAAACATGTTTAATAGCCAAATTCAGAGGACATAAAGATGATGAAAACTTGTATGCAAGCTTTAAAGGGTTTTATCAGTGTCCTATGCATGTTTTGACATACGGTTAACAATTTGTTTGTCCATCGGAAGTGGGTTGAATTTAATATTCTTATTTCGTAGATAAGATTGTAATAAGGTGTTTCCTTTATAAATATTTGTAGTGAGTTCTGCCATAATACCGGAAGGTATCCAATAGTTGTGAGGGTTTTCAGTAAATGGCTTCTCTATGATATTAGTATTAGTATTATTGTAAAGGTCTGTATGGTCATTGGTTTCATGACCTTCATCATACTTAGCGTAGGTGTTGACATTATTGGTGATTCCTTGGACATCATCCAGCATGTTAGGAACGTTATTATTATTATTATTATTATTACTATTGTTGTTACTATTATTTTGAAAGGTGGTTTCTTCGTTTATGCCTTCGCACAGAGAGTTTTTTGTAGTGCGGACAGCTAACCAGAAAAAAACGGCCTAACTTTCGATTAGAGGATTTGTATTGCTTTATATATGTAAAAAAAAAAAAAAATTAATTATGTAATCATGCATGCTCTAAATGCTGGGCACTAACCAATAAAATTGGCCATTAGCACGTGATCTACATTGCTATTACGACATGAAATACATTTTAATATAGTAGAGATTGAATAATGAATAAGTCATGCGGACCAATCAATTCCAAGATTTTGCATTTGTTCCTGATACCTACCTTTTAAAGTATTGTTCGGGGTGCTACACAAAGTCACGATAACAGATTACCCAATCATATATCGAGAAACCTGTAAACCATACATTAAATATTAAATTCTCACGTGTACAAGCACACGTGTAATAGTCACGCCACCAGTATAAGGTGTGAAATGGCATGCGAAAAATAGGCAACGCATAACATTATGTGATGAACAGAGGCACGCGGACCAATCAAGTGCTGAAAATCGCACAGACACATTAACTTGCCTGTAAACCATCCACTACGTTGTACGTTGTACAAACTCCGTTCCTGGTATAAAGGCCGAAATGGCCTTAGGAGCAGTACGCTTCGTTTGCTTTATTAAAATATAAGTCACAATACATTATAACGTCCATAATAAAATACTAACACTATACCCAGTACAAACCCTGTAAAATCCATAAACCTCGTTATTCGTTTGAGTTCTTGTTCACGTGACTTACCCTACTTGTATTTTTTGACCCAAAGTAACCGAAAGCCTTAATCACTCACCAGCCAAATCTAACACCCTCTTTCGAAAAGGTTACTTATCGTACGTTACACGACATTTTGGATTGTGGAGCGACAGAGTCGCAATCTTCCGAACCCAATAATAGATACTTGTATAATTAATTAGGGTTTAAGTCTATTATAAGGGATATTTCCGGCAAAGTTTCCAGAAACACTTGTGTTTATCTAATTTTGACTAAGTTATAATGTAATTTTGGCCGAACATATGGCTTGTGTAATTCCAAAATGTGTTTCCGGAAACTTTGCCGGAGGTGTCCTCTATAATAGATTTAAACTTTAATTAGAAATATCCATTATAGATAAATTGGTTTCATCTCTAGTTAGTATAATAAATGGTTATAATTATTGTTGGGCTGACCAGACCAATTCGACATTTGACCGGACAAGTTGACCAATGATCAGTCCGGTAAAGCATCTTTTACATTGGTCAAGTTTGTCAAAATAGTCTAGATACTATAATCGTTAAATTAACGGATATTTTTGAATTTTTGATATTATGGCAAGGCAGTTTTATAAAAAATCCCCATGGTAATTTTTTAATTAAAACACAGAAGGCAGTTAATTATCTGAAATTTTGTTATATTCCCAAGATCTTTGAATTTTTTTAGTTACACCTGACCTTGACTTTTATTGGCTAATTTTTGTTCGGAACTTCATGTATTCGGAATAGTGTTTGGAACCGGTTTTATTTTTCTTATGTTAAAACCGTTTTTAATCGGATTTAACATAAGAAAAATAAAACCGGTTCCAAACTCTAATTCGGAAAATCACTTTCATAGGAAGAAGTTCGTCTGATTGACTAATGTAAACCGATTGCCCGGGTAACTTATTTAAACATTTTAAAGTACTTTTTGGCGGTACAACATTTTTAATAATAATCGTCGCAAAAAACATTCATAGCTCTAGAATAGTGCCAATATTTACCGTGCAAAAGAATCTAAAAAAGATCTTTTTCCCGACGAACTTTGTTTAGAAGACAAAATATACCGACCATTTATTGGGCAATTTCAAATTATATCGAAAACGAAGATAAGTGAGAACGTTTTGTTCAAGACGTTAAATTTGAAAAAAAAATTATTACTAACAATTGAATTTGAACAAGAATAGGCTTATTGTAAAAAAAGTTGGGTTTAATACGTGAACATACTTGGTTTTTGCATTGTGTTTTGATCTGTTAATTGTAGTTTGTATTAAGGTGTTAGGGTTTATTAATAATGAATTCTATTTTTACTTCAATTTATGTATATTAATTTATTTATATAGATTTGTAATAAACTAATTATTTTGTATATTTCATATGGGCGGATTTTACGTGAATAAATTCAAATGTGATAACACAGAAGTAGTATATGAATATCATTAATTTTATTGGATGATATATCGAACTATTTCCTTTTATAGTAATAGTTAATCATATTCCGATCAACCTGAACATCACTTGATAGCCTTAATTGGAAAGTCTATTTGTTTATATCACATTCGTGTTACATTATCGTTACTGTAGTATATTCTTCCAATGCACAAGATTATCATCTTTACAACTCTACTTACACCTGAGACATTTTGTTATGAAAGTAAAGTAAAATGGCACAGAACTATTAAAAACTCTCAAGTGTCACCCCATAAAGTTCAGCAAAAATCTCAACTTACTGTAAATGCAAACCCGGGTATATCAAGTAATACGACATTGCATAGACTTGAGTCTCAAGAAGCATTAGCGAATGCCTTTTATAAGAACACTACTTCAATCCTTTTGGATCTTAATGTACATAAACCAAATGAGCAAAGTTTATGGAGTAATGTTTTACCAGTTGAAACTTCAAATGAAACGGTTGAACAAAGCATGAATATAGAGCTACAAGGTTAGTTACTAGTATATCTATATAGGTTAAATATTTAAAGTTTATATATAAATTTAATAAATATTTGTATTATAGGGATCTTGTCACAAAAGTTATTAACTTATGAGAATAGGCGTATATTTTATGATAATTTTCTATATATTAGAGCAATACGTAGGATTGGTGACAAAGATTATTGGAGTAATTACAAAGTAATTAAACTTGTTCATTATCCTCCTATTTCTAGATTTACTCGCAAACACAATGGTATCACATATCAGATTCCTGATAAATATGAGGTTGAAACTAGTTTAGTGAGATTGTCTATAAGATGTAAAACTCAATATCAGCAAGATGGTAATATTAATTATATGATTAGTTGGATAAATTCTTGTGGTAATACATTATCAAGCAGTAGTACAACTTCTGTGAGTAATGTTGGTGTTAAATTTTTAATGGTAACTATTAATTAAATAAAAAAAAACTTATATTTTAGATTTTTTTTAATGATATATATAAATTAAATAAAAAAAATAATTGTATTTTATTATAAAAAATATTATATAGGATATTTGTAATAAATCAAATACCCGTATTTCTGGAATATCTCTATTTGGATTTGATATTGATTGTTTACATAAAGCAAGAATAGAAACTTCTACTAATCGCAAGCATCCTTATACAGAATTAAAATCTAATTCACAAAAAAAACAACAAATTGTATTGGTAGCAAATGATTTAAAGATTCAAGTAGCAAAACTTTTTCATAATCATCAATTTATTAATTCATTAGGTGCTAATATAATAAGTCTTGAATTAGTAAAGCTTAGAATTGCAGATCAAGATATAACCCTCAATTATCAGCTTAAGAATAAAAGTGAACAATACTATAATTCTCTTGTTCGAATATGTAATGAAATGTTAATTTCCTGCAATGGATACTAAAAATTGGCAACTGTAGATACAAATATGATTCGAGAATATTTAGTTGAACAGCAATGTAAAGATATTAGTAATCAAATGGAGAAACATTTACCAATAGTTTTATTTACTATCAATCAAGAATTAGAATTTAAGAAAGACATTGTAGAAAATAGAGCTAATATAAATGTAGATTTGAACAATCATAAAACTGAAAATGCTGTTTATAGATTGATTAAATCTTTATTAATGCTTTTAGTGCCAATTTTAACTGTATCTAATCCAGTTGTTCTTTATTCTGATGATAAAATTAATTTAAAAATTAGTGGAGATGATCGAAATATTAGTAGAAAATAAAATCATGTAATACTAGTAATTAGTATATTAAATGAAGGTAAAGCAGTATTAAATCTGAATCATGTGTATAGGTAAAAACTTTATTCTTATTTATATTATCTTTTTATTAAATCTAATTTACTATTTTTTATTTGAAGTATTTGTCTATATATCAGCAAAGAAAATTACAATTCACTAAATTGTGTTTATTAAAGATTTGCTCAAGAGCTTGAGGAATTAACAAATACTGGATTTGTTGATAATTTAGGAAACATATGGCTAATAGAATTTTTTTTTTCAGGAGATTAGAAATTTTTGGCACTTGTATTAGGACTTAATGTTGCAAATTCAAATTATTTTTGTTTGTTTTGTAATTGTCATGAAAGTAAACGTGCTAATATGAAATTGAATTAGAATAATAGTTTAAATACTTATAGTAAAAAATTTTAATATTAGTATACTGTACATAAATTTATTTAAATTATATAACTAAATTTTATTAAAAAATAGGGTGTAAGCATTCAATGCTTTTTAATATTATTAATCAAGGCAATTGGATACCTGACAAATTGTATACTATGTTGTGCATAACAGATATTTTATTACAATGTGCTTTTTATGAACTTTCAGTAAATTGAAAAAATTTTATAAAAACAACAAGCTGATTAATAATTACTAAGATGAGTCGAATTGGTATACATTTTAAATTTTTTTCTTCTATAACTAATTCAAGCTCATAGATGTGGACTTCTTTAATGGGCCCTGACAAACTTAAAATATTGCAGAATTTTCAAATATCTAAATTTTTTAATTTGAATAGAGGAAAGAAAATAGAAAATCTTTGGCATGAATTCTACAGACTTTACAATTTAATGCATTAACAAAATTTAACTGATAAAGAAATTAATCAATTTGAAAATGATGCTAAACAATGGATCAGAGATTTTAGCTGACCCACAATTGGAAAATTCAATTTACCAAATCAACAACAAGGAATGTATTTAAAAAAAATGTAACACTATATATGCATATGTTAGCTCACATATGTCTAAGTTTATGCACAATTTGAAAAACAAAAAATTGTCATTATGTTTGTTTTCAACTTGCAGTCTTGAAAAAAAAATCATGAACATGTAAAAATTTTTATTATATTTAAAATAATTTTTATATACATATAATTTATTTACATATCTCTAATATTTTATTCTACTTAGATATGACTTTTTTTTTCTGAAACAACAATAGGTGGTGGTAAATCTTATAAACCTGTAATGTATGATATTATGAAATATGAAAATTGACAAATTTATTATTGAATTCATAATATTTCTACAATTTATTCACATAAAGTTGTTTGTATTAAAAATTAAATAAAATATAATATATTCAATAAAAGTTTTATTATCTTATTCAGCAACAAAATCTTGAACATCAATCTGAAATGAACATATCATTAAATCACATAATAAAGAATAATTATGTTTTTTATATATATGTTCTTTCCAAGTAAAATTAACTTGATATGTTCTAGTTTTATTTTCTATTAAGACATAAGCAATAGTTTCTGATCCATCTTCTTTATATCCCAACACATCATCATTTAATAAATTTTCTAACTCCTTATAATCTGCACTTCTATTAAAACTAACAACATATTTTTTTGTGATGTAATATAATAAAAAGTAGAAATGTGACAGAATAAAATAATGAATAATCTTTCTGAAAAAGGTTTCAATTGAATTGTTTTGTTTTTAACTTTATATTGATCAAACTGAAGACACTTTTTTACTTGAATAATAAATGCATTTCTAAACTGATCAATATCATAGCTAGAAGGTGTAATTATAATATATAGATACAGAATAATTTTATTGTTCTGATGTTTGGTTTTTTTATGTTTAACAAGAGAACTTTGAGATTGATATAAATAATGTAAATTAGGTGAACAAAGATAATAAGGATATGTTGAAATCATTTGTTACAATGTATAAACAAAAGGTGATTTGTTTATTCGCTACATTATTGTTACATATATATATTAAATATATATATATAGATCAATTTTTAATTATCACATCTGCAGATCCTGAAATCATTGAAATCTGCCCATATGTATTTTTTTAATTTTTTTGCTTTTGCTAAGGTTGATGTTTATGACAACTATCACTTTTATTGTGTTTTCAATTATACATACATATAGCTTGTACAAAATAATTGTGCAACTAGTTATATATGTAACTTTTGATTACTTATTTATAAGTTTATTTGCAGATTCTACATTAGCTGTTATATCTATAATTTACTGAAAGATTACCTATTTAAATACTCTGATTTCTATACTACACCAAGTGAATAGTTATCTGGTTTTTGTACATCTAATGCTATCTAGCCTAATATTAAGTTTTTTTTTTGTATATCTATCAAATAATTACTTGTTCTAAAGTATGTTATCTAACTGTAAAACTCAAGGTTGTCTTTTTATTAACTAATCTATCTATTTTATAGACCATTAATAGGATTATATACTTACAGAATTTACTTAAACTCTAGTATCTATATTATAGCATATTCTTAATATTTTTAGTATTCTTCTATTTTATTTTTAGACTTGCAATCTAAATATTATAGTAGAACTGTTCTTAGTATATTGAGTCTAGTCTAATATTCTTATTTTTTACTCTGAATTCTTGCAATCTAATTGGTTATACTCCTTATCTAAAGATTCTTATCTACTCAATTCTTTTATATTGGTGCCTATTTTCTGAATCTAGTCTTTAAAGTAGCATTATCAAAAATCTATATTACTTTTCTGCCTAGATCTTTTTAAGTAGATTTTAGGTTTTCTCAGTTAAACATATTTATACAACTACAAAAATTATTTTAGATTTGTATAAGATTATATAGATATTTTATAATTTACTAGTCATACTAGTTTAATCATAGTTACAAATATCTTATCTCAACTAATTAATAGAATGTTGTTACTATAATATAAATATATTTTTTAAATTTTTACCTTTAGTAGGTTTTGAACTTATAATCTGTTATTTAAAAAAGAAACAACTTATTTTTTTTTTTTTATAGTTAAAGTCTCTATCTTGAAGATGTAACATTTTTATTCAAGTATATTAGGACATGACATGTTACCAGAGGCTCACTTTACATTAAAGGTTACAACTAGCTACACATGCACTTTTAGTAATTAATTTAAGTAGTCTGCTTACACATTGCTATATAAGTTCTATACTAGTTGCCATACTTGTAAGCTAACTAGAGGTCTTGCCTATTTATTCTCTCTGTATATATAATCCTCCTTGTATTATAAGAACATCTCAAGGCTACACCTATCCAAGTTCCTGATGCTTGTTGTTACTCTTAAGACTAGTTTATCCTCTACAGGAAACTTACTAGAGACTTTATATCTCACACATATAAACCTAGTTTTATGCAACATGCTATAGTTATCTAACATTTGTAGTTACAGGAGTTATCTGTTTAACCATAGTTATACTATTTCTACTTTTGTAAAGTTCACTAGAACCCCAGTACCTATCTTCTTGATATCTTCTCTATCATATCCTATTAGCTGCAACTCAGAATTATCAGTCTCATTTCAGACTACCAATCCAAATGGACTAGTATAGTATACTCTGTATTCTTTTCCTCTAGTGAATCTGGCAGCCTGGTTGGTTATATGCTTTTCTATACATATTTGATGTCTGGTTTTAACTTTCAGTTCCTATGAAAGTGTTTTATAATGTGATATCAGAAATTATAAAAATGAATATCATGACTGATCATGTGAAAAATGCATAAAATGCAATAAGTGCAATAAGTTACATTTAGGATCAGAAAAGGTATTTCAGATCCAAAAAAGTAGACAAGAAATAAGGGGAGGATTTGAGAATAAATTACACATCCTTAAAGATATTAAATAAATTACTGTAAATAGTTTTAAGGAATAATAAATATAAAGTTTCATTTGTGAGTAATGAATTTAAAGTTATAAATAAAGACTAAAATGGCCCTTGAGAGCAGTACACTTGGTACGCTTTATTTGCTTTATTAAATAATAACTTCCAATATTCTATATAGTATTTAATAAACACTAACACTATTACTATTACAAAACTCTGTAAACTCCTGTAAATGATGCTGTCCAAACCTGTGACTATGTAACTGACCCTACTTGCATTCATTGATCCAAAGTAAATGAATGTCTTTCTCACACACAAGCCAAATCTAACACTCTCTTTTGAAAAGGTTACTTGTCATATATTACATAAGGTTTAAAATTTTGGAGTGACTGAGTCGCAATCTTCCAAACCCAACAGTAGGCTTTAACTGGTTTGATGGTACCATCAAAAGTTCATGCTATCTCTTTACTTAGAAAATTACAAGCGGATGTCTTCACCTTGGTTTCTTAGTCTTCTATACCTGATAGTTTTATTATAGGTTTACACTGAAGTCTTATGCAATACTGATTATACATTGCTCTATGTGCATGTAATATTATACTTTATATAGATGACTGAGCTCTCAATATCAGTAGAACCTAACTTGATGTATCTGGGTAACAGCTACATAAGGCCAACTGATTGATAGGAGACAGTTACTATAATGCAGATATAATTTTCAAATTTCATTATAGTTGGAATTTGGATCTTAGACCTGCCACTTAGAGGATGACAACCCAACTACTACACTAGAATTGCCATTCTCAGAAACAACTTATTTATTTTATTAAGTTATCACATTTTTATATATTTATTAATTTATAAATTTTTTTATATAAAGTTTTTTAATTTTTAAAATATAGTATTTTTTTATTAAATAATATTATAATAAAAATTTTATTATAATTAGAAATGAGTTTTTAATACAGATTAAAAAAAGATGATGATGAAACTTGCAATTTAAAAAGAATCAAAATTAGAAAAAAAAGCAAAAAAAGTATATTGAATAAGACTAAACTTAGTAAAGATAAAAAAAAAAGGAACAGAATGTATTCAGTTGTTTAA